TCAAAGATACATTGCAGTCTGCAGGGACTGCCATATCAATAAGGAGGCACTTTTATTATTATTATTATTTTTATTTTCTTTGATTTCTGGCGTTTACACATTTCTTTCCGGGTCCCGCCCAGGGACCTAAAGTTAGAAATGGCGTCATGACACTTTCCACTGACAAAAAAAAAAAAAAAAAATGATTACATAGATAAAGCCCTTCATAAGGTGTGGGCTGTACTTGTCAGAACAATTTTCTGTATCTCCTTGAGGCATGGACTTCCAGGAATCCCTTCAATTAGTCTACTGGAATCTTTTCCAACCAGTCCTAGGGCTCCAACTACAACAGGGATTGTTGATGTTCCCATATGCGATTTCTATTTCAAGGTCCTTGTACTTTGACAACTTTTTGAATATCTTCAAAGATACATTGCAGTCGGCAGGGACTGCCATATCAATAAGGAGGCACCGTTTTTGTTTGTGGTCTTTAATAACAATATCTCAAGGTTGGCCTTGATTGTTCTATCAGTGTGTATTTTGTAGTCCCATAGAATTGTAACAGGTCCCATCTCCGTAACTGGTCTGGGTGGTGTTCATACCAGTTTCTTTCAGTTTTCTTCCCATAGAAGTTGCAGATTTTCCAGTGCAGATATTGGCCCACTCTGTCATGTCGGGTTTTATATTCAGTGGGTGCCAACACCGTACAACCTGCTACAAGATGATCAATCGTTTCTGGATATTTATCACAGAATCTGCATTTTGGGCTGACAATATTTTTAGTATATGTGCTTGATAATTCCTAGTTAGCAAGCATTGGTCCTGCACAGCAAGGATAAAACCTTCAGTTTCCACTTTCAACCCTGCACTACATAGCCACTGATGGGTACGGGTTTTGTCTACGTCAGCTTGTTTGGTACGGGCAGATTATTGGCCATGAAGCGGTTTATCTTGCTATCGCTTCTGTAACTGGTCTGTTGCATTCGTCTTAGCTATCTTTTTTAGGTATTTTGCAGTTTCAGCCGGTGTATTGTGCTGTAGTTGCATCTCTACGCCCATTTGGAACTCCATTTTGAATTTGTTGGCTTCCTTCATTACGGAGTAGAGACGCTTACTACTTTCATGTTCCTTGATGCATACCATCATCCAGTCTTCAGTAGTTTCCAAATATCTTTGGAGGCCAATTGTTGTAGTTTTGTAGGACAGTTCTAGTTGAACTAATCCTCTGCCTCCTTCGGATCTGGGCACATACAGACGGTCAACATCAGCTTTGGGATGATGCATGTGATAGCAAGTGAGTAGCTTTCTCGTTTTGGCATCCAGTCGCTTAATTTCAGCTATGGTCCAGTTAAGGACATTAAAGCTGTATTGCACCACAGGGACAGCCAATGTGTTTATGGCTGATATCCTGTTTTTGAGTTCAGCTCAGTATTTAGTACCAGATGTACACGCCTGTAGTATTCTTTTCTTATTTTTCCTTCATTTGGTTGTGTTGTATGCCATCTCCTTCGCTAATTCCTAGGTACTTATAAGCTTCACCATGCTCCAGTTCCCTAATCTTTGTGACAAAATCTAAATCTATTAAGGGTGTTTCTGTAATTCTACCTTTCTTGAAAGTTACTTTTGCACATTTATCTAATCCGAAGTCCATACCTATGTCGTCACTGAAGTATTTTACAATATTGAGGAGGCCTTTCAACTCATTGTCGTCTTTGGCAAAGAGTTTGAGATCATCCATGTAGAGTAGGTGATTGAATATTTTCTTATTTATTTTGTAACCATAGCTACTGTTGTTCAGTTCATGTGTAAGAGGGATTAAGGATAAACAAAACAGAAGGGGTGACAGAGAATCTCCTTGAAAGATTCCACGTCGGATACTCAGACGGTTGGATATGGCAGTGCCCCTGGTGTGACTAAGGTATAGTTTGGTGTTCCACATTCCCATTCCACATTAAGGAAATTTAATACCACAGAGGAGACTTTGTACATTTCCAAAGTCTTAAGGATCCAAGAATGTGGAACACTATCAAAGGCTTTATGATAATCAATCCACGCTGCACTTAGGTTCCTGTGTCGTCTCCTGCAATTTTTCAGGATCATTTTATTTATCAGAAGTTGATCCTTGCAGCCATATGAACATCTTCTGCATCCCTTCTGTTCCAGCGGGAGAGTGCTGTTTGTTTCGAGAAAGGAATAAGTACGGTTCGTCAATACAGACGTGATCAACTTATACGTTGTGGAGAGACATGTTATCGGTCTATAATTTTTCGGGTCGTCTGTTTCAGTTGTTTTTGGTATGAGGTATGTCATACCTTCAGTAATCCATTCCGGGGTTTCATAGGGATTATTTACATGCGTTGATAATGTTTTTGCAAGAATTTCATGGGTAGATGTGAGATGATACAGCCAGAAATTGGGCAACTTGTCACTTCCTGGGGATTTCCTCTTTTGGGATTTCGTTAGAGCTTGCCTAACATCATCTGTGGATATATTTTCCCATTCTTGCAGAGGTGTATCCAGCATTCGTTCTTCTTCACGCCGTATCCACTCTGCATTTGGGTTATACTCCTTTGGGCTGCTCCAGATATTTTCCCAGAATGTCTGTACATTATCAATCGATGGTGGCATTTCGACATGTATAGGTGTTTTCCAATTTCCTGTAAAATTTCTTAAGATCTGTTCGAATATTTTATTTTGGCGATAGAACCTACAACGTTTTTCGTATCATCTTGTTCTCTGCGCCTTCAGCTGAAGTTTCTGCTTCAGCATTTCCTTGATTGATGGAATATCAATTAGGGATTTAATGTCATATTTCCGCTTGATCTTTTGAATTTACGTGTGGAAATATTAGGGTTTCTGGTGAGCTCATCTAATATAGAAAGCTCACATCTGATTTGTTGTATTTCTCGAATCAGTTTGGTTTTCCAAGCTGGTTCTCTGTGTCTGTTAATTTTATTTATTGTCTTGACTCCAAGCTTCCGAGTCGCTGCTAAAGCTGTGGCGCGATATGACGTTGTTAACTTCTGTGATGTTTCCCAGTGGTTTATCTGTTAACAGTGTTTCCAGAGCAGCATTGTATATTTTCACGATGTGCCTGTTGGAGTTCGTCATATGGATTTTTCGGGAGCTGGTCTCTGTCTGACAATTGTGTGAATGTTACTCTGCTGAGCACTTGGATGATGTCATTTTTCGCTTCAGTGATTTCAGCTCCGTGGTTTTCAAGGAATTCTAACTTATTGTCACTGAAGATGACTCCAGGTGCAGTTTCTGGAGGACTGTAGGTTGTGTTTGAGGTAGAGTCTTGGGTTTCATTTCCTGGGAGATTATTCCGTACTTCATTCTCTCCAGCATCCACCCCATACTCTGTTGCATTCCTTATTTCTACATTCGCCTCAATAGAGTTTGAGTGATGGGTCATAGTATTTTGTCTTATATGTAATTTTATCTTATCTATTTCTGCCTGTGAGAGTCTGTTGTTTTGCATGATGTCCCTACGGACATTGGCAAGCATGTTTGGATTAAGGTTAGGTCTTACATCATTTCCCACCGTACTTCTCCATATTTGGTATGTTTGATTGGTGGTGTTCTTTGCTGGGTTTTCGAGTGCAGTGAAGAAGGATGTCATGACTTGTCGATACTCTTCGCGGCTCCATTTCGTTTGTTTACTTTTTATTAGTCGATTTTGCATAGAGTCACTTGGTCCAAGGTTGGCAATAATTCGGTTTTGGTGACCAAGTGTCTCTTCGTGTGTGGAAGAGTTTGTTCCAGTGGCAGACTTTTTGTTCTCAGACTGGTTCCTCTCTGAGTGACGCGGCCCTTGTTGCCCCGGTTGACGGCCGATCCAGTATGAAATATTATTCGTATTCATTGAAATTAGTAGAGATGCGTTTTAACCTTGACCACCAAGGGGTAGTTATGTTCAGATTACCAGCTGTAGGAAGAATCTGGAAGAAGATCCAGGAACACGCCCATACAATGAGATTGTGGGTTTATTGATATAAAGAGAGAATATTTCAAAAGATTGTGTGGTATTCAGTGGGGTAGACCATAGTAAGTTTTAACTTAGTATAAGTCCGAGTGACCACTCCAGGGGAGGAATAAATGCATTTTAGTATATAGATTTAAAAAAAAAAAAAAAAAATTTAAAATAGATACAATATGATCCCTGTCAATGCGGATACATACACATGTAAATTATATATATATATATATATATATATATATATATATATATATATATATATATATATATATACATACACACACACACACATACGGAGAGAGAGAGAGAGAGATAGATATTAGTAAACATGTACACATATACACAACGACAGAGATTTGGGATGCTTAAAGTAAGAGAGAAAAAGTGAAAAATAAAGTGAAAAATGGACACGGATGTCCGCTTAAGTTCGGGGGGGGGGACCGAAAATTTGAAATATACGTTAAACAACAGCAAAAAAAAAAAGAAAAAAAACAGGGAGCTGAAAGGGAAAGAATTAACTGGAGTCAAAAGAATTTACAGTCATAGCAAACTACACGAAAAGTAACATTTAAAAGAATAAATGCTACATTTACCGTTTCTTCCTACATCGGAGCATGGCAAAAGTGATCTTCCACAAATGTTCAGTTTTCTGTCGCCAACGACAGATACTTATCAAATTTTATGGGGTAGGCTGGATTTATACTACTGATTGGTAGGGGGGGGGCTGGATATCAAAGAATTCATTAAACAAAGGGGTAGAAGCAAAACAGTAAAAGTTATACTTTTCCGGTCATCTCTCAGCCTACTAGCCGCTAAAAGATACATTTTTAAATTTTCACTCAAAGACATGATAGTCAAAGGGCAGAGCATTGTACGAAAATCACACCTGAAGCCATGAAAAAGGTAAAGATAAATACAATATGATCCCTGTCAATGCGGATACATACACATGTAAATTATATATATATATATATATATATATATATATATATATACACACACACACACATACGGGAGAGAGAGAGATAGATATTAGTAAATGTACACATATACGCAACGACAGAGATTTGGGATGCTTAAAGTAAGAGAAAAAAAGCGAAAAATAAAGTGAAAAATGGACACGGATGTCCGCTTAAGGTCGGGGGGGGGACCGAAAATTTGAAATATACGTTAAACAACAACAAAAAAAAAAAAAAAAAAAAAAAAAAAAGAGGGAGCTGAAAGGGAAAGAATTAGCTGGAGTCAAAAGAATTTACAGTCATAGCAAACTACACGAAAAGTAACATTTAAAAGAATAAATGCTACATTTACCGTTTCTTCCTACATCGGAGCATGGCAAAAGTGATCTTCCACAAATGTTCAGTTTTCCATCGCCAATGACAGATACTTATCAAATTTTATGGGGTAGGCTGGACTTATACTACAGATTGGTAGGGGGTGCTGGATATCAAAGAATTCATTAAACAAAGGGGTAGAAGCAAAACAGTAAAAGTTATACTTTTCCGGTCATCTCTCAGCCTACTAGCTGCAAAAAGATACATTTTTAAATTTTCACTCGAAGACATGATAGTCAAAGGGCAGAACATTGTACGAAAATCACACCTGAAGCCATGAAAAAGGTAAAGATAAATACAATATGATCCCTGTCAATGCGGATACATACACATGTAAATTATATATATATATATATATATATATATATATATATATATATACACACATACATATTATTATTATTATTATTATTATTATTACTGTTGTTATTATTATTCTTACTATTCTTATAAGAATGCACAGCTATAAAAACAAGTTTATAAATTTTTATACTTGTATGCATTATGTATAACATGAAGAAAACATATATATTGTTGAAATATTCTTAAACATTTTTATTTCTTTTCTGGAATTCACTCACTCCTGGAAATGTTATTATTATTATTATTATTATTATTATTATTATTATTATTATTATTATTGTTGTTGTTGTTGTTGTTGTTGTCGTCGACATCATAAGTTTGTTGTTGATGATGATGATGATGATGATGATGATGATGATGATGATGATGATGATGATGATGATGACAAGAACACTGACAACAATGACAATGATGAGAATGTATCTTGTCTCAAGTTGCATGGTATTAGCATTCGCTGACTATAAAATTTGGCATGACAGGGTGGGTTTTTATCAAAAGGAAATGGCAACTTTTCATCAAAAGGAAACTGATAGTTTTTGAAAATCTTCAAAGATACATTACAATCTGCAGCGATTGCCATGTCAGTAAGAAAACACATACTGTTCTTGTGGTCTTTGATCATGATGACTGGGTGACTAGCTTTTGATTGTTCTGTCTGTGTGTATTGTAAAGTCCCATAAAATTGTTACAGGTTCTGTCTCTGTAATTGGGTCTGGATGATATTTATAACAGTTTCTTGCAGTTTCCATCCCATAAAAGTTGCAGATTTTCTAGTGCAGATATTGGCCCACTCTATCTTGCAGAGTTTTATAGTCAATGGCTGCTAACACTATGCAACCTGATACAAGATGGTCAATTGTTTCTGGATATTTATCAGAAAATCTGCATTTTGAGTTAACACAATTTGTCGGTATGTATTTCTAGTAAGCAAGCATTAGTCCTGTGAAACAAGAATAAAACCTTTAGTTTTATCTTTTGACCCTGCACTACAAAACCATTGATGGGTACAGGGTTTGTCTACATCAGCTTGTTTGGTACGAGTAGAGTATTGACCAGGAAGAGGCTTATCTTGCCATCAATTCTGCATTTGGTACTCTGCATTTGCTTTCTTTTTTTGGGTTCTTTTCTGCTGTGTTAGGTGTATTATGGTTTATTTGCACTTCTTCATCCACTTGAAATTCCCTTTTCTTTTTTTTCTTCTTCTTCTTTCATTCAATAAATGGTGATATTGGTACTGGTGATGCTGTTAGTCTTTCATTAATACCCTTTTTTTATCCCAGGAAAATGACTGGAAGAACCAGATATTGAGTTGAAGAGTAGAAATCGTCCAAATGATAACATTGTTGCAGAGAGTTAGAATACAGAGACGAATACAGCATTCACTGGAAAATAGAGAGAGTGTTCAGTCATCAGTGGAGTAGGGAAATGAACATAACCCAGAGGGGACATCCTTTTACCATGTAATGCTATATCTTGGAGCAAGAGGGAGAAAGTGGTAAAGGAAGGACATGTTTGTCTTTATAGACTTAAACAGCATTACCTAATGGTGTTGTAACAGAATTGAGCCAGCCTGATAAGAGACTTCAAGTTGGTTGTAAGTGGTGCTGTAAGCACCGGGAGTTACGTCCTCTTCTACAATGAGCTGTTGAGAGAAGACCTACTTAGATTAGGTGGTGCTGACTATTTGCATATGAACAATATTGGGCAGATATTAGCCAATAGTCAGTGTGGGTCTGGGACTGGGAGAGCTATATGACACTAGTTTTCCTCAGTCAAGTGAGGCGCTCTCAACATGTGGACATACGAAAACCAGACAAGACGAACACAGGTTTTTTGTCAAAGCCAAGTGGGGTAATAAAATTTTTGATTCTTTTATTACTAACAAGTTCTTTATTTTAATATTTCACCTCAAGCAAGGTGGTAATGCCACTAGAAACAAGGGATTTAGAGTGAGTGAAAGTGAAAGAGAATGGGAAGACTGAGAATTGGGAGAATTGAGGAAAGACTAAAAAGGAACAGGGTTCAGGAAGATAGAAGATGGCGATTGACATTGCATGAGGTAAGAAATCAGAAGGAAGTTCCACAGGCTAGAAGTGCAAGAAAAAATATTAGAATAGAAATGGCAGTTGCAGCTAGCTATTTCAATAGTAAAATGGTGGGACCTAGATGACAATCTAGTAACATGCATAAATTCATGTATTTAAGGCATCAGTGAAAAACCTTATCAGAATTGCCATTATGGAAAAATGTATTTCTTTTTTATTATTCAATATTATTATTTTATTTATTCATTTTCCCACAGTGATATTCATTCAGCTTTAGTGAATACTGTATATTTTAGAAGCATAAAAATTACTTTTCATTCTAGATTCTTAGTACCAAAATGATTACAAGAACAAAACCTTTCTATTTCTTTCCTACTTCCTTGTTGAAAATGCTGTTTTATCAGAAAATAAGTGTACAGAATTTATTCTTGTCTTCAATTAGTTTTTTTTTGTTTTGAGTTATTAAATCCTTATCGGTCATTTAATGTCAAAATTTAATTTTCTTGGGATCATTTGTAATTTCATTTACAAAAAATGAATTGTTGGTAATTTTTCTTTTTTCAAAAATGCATTGCTGGTAATTTTTTTTTCACAAAATATGTATTGCTGGTAATATTTTTTTTTAAATGTATTGATAATATTTTTACTATGAAAATATATTGCTGGTATTTTTACTATAAAATGTATTTTTATACTTTCATAGTGTTTTGACCTCAGTTTGTGGGTTAACTATTTACCTATAGTTGGGACCCTAACAGGTGCTACAACCCTGGGTCAGCGTAGACCGGGGGACAACTGCAATTAAGTGGTGGTTCCATGATCCTCAAAACCTCTCAATCAGAGGCCTTGCTGTTGGATGTAGTTTATTGTCATACCCAGAAAAGGCCTTCAGTTACAGTAAATTTACTTATTTTTTTGTATTTACTTTTATTTTTTAATTTTACAAATCAAAATTTTGACACGTTCTTCATGCTAGAAAATAAGGTATTTTCTTTTTGTAGTTGTTATTACATCTTTGATATTAAGACAAAATCATTTTTAGTGTACTGCAATTGTTCAAGATTTTACAAATATTGATTAATTTGAAAGAAAAAAGATCATGTTATCTTTGTTTGAAAAGTTTCCTTTTCTTTATTGGATCAATGATAATCACTATAAAAAGCATTTTTTTAACGTCATGTTCCTTCAGGCTATAGGTGATTATGGCTCTCCACAGGTTCCTTTTCTTTATTATTTGTAAATTGCCATGTAGAGTGGTTTCCTGTTGCCTTATCCATGGTTTAAAATCCATAGTTTTCTTTTTCTTAGACTGGTTGCCACCCAAGGCTAATAAGTTGCTATTTAACCACTAACTGAGAGTAAGCGGAAAAGATGGAATCATGTCTTTTCAAAGGCTATTTGTGTGAAAGTGAGTGCAACAGACTAGCCCAGAATTTGAACATGGTACCAAACATTCAGAATTATTAGGCTGGATTTATATATAGTAATCAGTAAGTCACATTAAAAACATCTAATTTCAAACAATATATTCATTAAAGTTTTTTGTTAACATCATAGTTTTAATAACATTATCTGATACCAACATTTCACTTTCATGGGCTTGTTATAAATAATAACTATAAATTAGGGAAAGATCTGAAACTATCCAAATGATATTTTTTTAAAGCTGGATTATTGAGAAGACTTTCAAAATACAATATAAAATAATGTTTAAAAATAGCCAATTTTTGTCCTTGGAATGCAATATATAAAAAATGTTTAGTATCATATAAAAGTTTACCCAAAGACATTGATAATGTGCTTGCTGATCAATTAAATTTTATTTCATTAATAAAGATGCCGTTGTACAAGAAGTAATTAACAATATGGAAGCTCAAAAAAAGATAACCATTATAATTCAAAGATTTTGGTATTAAAATGTAAACTATAAAATTGTCTTGGTAGATTTTCTTATTTCAAATAACAAATGATTTCAAGTGTATATAGTTTGACTGACCCTGAAACAGCAAATATATAAATTATAAATACAATTATTTAATTAGGGGATTTAATTTGTATAATTAAATCCAGTCACACTTTGATCCCAAACTTTTTTTAAGTGGCTATTGCTAAAAATTAAGTCTGATTAAGCGAAACGAAATAACTTTCTTCTTTTTTTTTTGCTTTTAGTTTCTCATTTTGCTACTTTTTAAAACTTAATTTCAGTTTTTCAATACTATAAGAGATTGTTATAAATAGAAGACAAAAGATTATTAACAAAGAGTGAAAAGAAAGGTAGCTACATGCGATGATAATAATGTGTGTGTGTATATGTGTGCGTACACAAGCGTGGAATGGTTTTTGTTTTTACCAAGAGAAAAATAAAAATAAACTTAAAACGAGAACTCATTAAAAAAATCAAATTGAACTATAAAAAATTTATAATTATTAAATTTAAGTATTTTTATTTATTTAACATGTTCTTTGGACGAAAATGTTTTTGCATAATTTGTTAAAGAATTAAAAATGAGATATACCATCTTTTGGTCAACAATTTTTTAACTAATAAGATTTCGTTTCGGTTTGAATATTTTTGACACATCCCCCACACATAGAGTATAAATATAATCCACTAGTTGTTTTTCAGCTATTTTGTTCGGGCTAGACGAAAGTGTATGCTCACTGATTCTTCCCGGCTTTAGCAACTAGTGGACAATTGAAGACGGGTTCTAGTAACTTTATTCGCTGGTGCATGACCAACAGCATAAGATATTATCTGATTTATTCAGGTGAAGCATGCTATTTCACCAGAGGAGGTGGATAATTCCTCAGCTGGTCCAGCGGTTCCTAAATACAACACGGTCACCGAAACAGTTATTACTTCAGTAATATTTCTATTTTTCATAAGGTTTGTATTGAGTTTTTTTTTTTTATAACTATACACACAAAAAATAGTAAAAACATTGTATTCTTACTTGATTTTAATGTCTTTTCCGTACATTTTATATGCCTTCTCTTTTTTTCTTTTAACATAACTATTGCAGAAAAAATGTTTTATATATATTATTATTTTTTACAAGAGCACTAAATTATTTTTAAGTTTTCCTAATTAAAGCTGCTAAAAACCTTCTTTTTTATTATTCCTCTGTAGGTTTCTATCATGCACAATCGTATGCACATAGTGCACATATTTAAAAAATTCAAATTGCATAATTATTTCTAATTAAAAATAGCATTTATTTGCACTGTAAGGTTTCTTTATCATTGGCATTTTAACTATTTTTTTTCTTTGCTACATTCATTCATTTTGACACTTGTGACACTTGACAGTTGCAAAAATCATTTCTTGAAAATCACTTGCATTCATTATTCAATTGCAAGTACATTTTCTTTTCTTTGTGTAAGTGGGGTTCACTCCAACTGTCAAAATTAATACGTGACATACTGGACGTACATTTGTATATGTAAAAAAAAAATACAAATAAAAAAACCCTGATAATTTAGTCATGTAAAACTCGCCTCATTTCAAAAAAGTAAATTAGTTTTTTTTAGTTTGTCAACACGTCCAGTTTCTTTTAAATAACAATTATTACTTAATCAAGCTTCAGTTGATGCAGTAGTTGCATCCTCTGAAAACTGAAACTTTTATCTCTGAGGATAATTGTACTTTTGAAGAATTTTACATTTTTTTAGTGTTAAAAATACAAACTTTCGGCTTTTAATTTCTGTAGTTTTGAAGGTAAATTGTTATTAAACGCATCCTTTAAGTAGCCAGATGGGGTAATTTTTTTTCTGTCTTACTAGTAGTAGTCTTAGTAGCCTGAAGTTGAAGCATCAACCAAAATATTACTTTGCATAAAATAATAATAATTAAGACTAACGTCAAATTTGAGTAAAAATTAAATCGAAAATTTTTAAATGTAAAGTAAAAAAAAAAAAAAAAATTCTTTGGGATACTATACACGCTAATGCAGAGGGTGGGAAACTAGTACCTCCACCCCACATACATTTTAGTTTTAACTTTTTATTTTATTTTCTATATTTTTCTTTATTTTATTTATTTTGCCACTTTTATTTCCTGAATGGTTTTAAACTGAAATTATTTTGTATATTGCATAACTTCCTGTTTTATTTGACTTTACTTTTTTAATTTAATTTTCTATAACCACTTTAAATATGATCTTACAGAGTTTTTAAAATAAACTGAAGTTTATATCTTGTTAGTACAATACTTATCATTGTTTTAATGTCTGTGTGTGTAGTTAATGATAATCTGTGCATAAGTAATACTAAAAATAAATAACACTTTACTTTTAGTTTTAAATTTAATTGAGGAACTAAAAAAACTTATTGTAGGGTGGACGATAAGTACACCTAAAAACACTGAAGCAGCTACCCTTTATGTCAAAGAAACTTTAAAAAAAAAAAGTATACTAAATAGAACTCTTATCTTACATTATTACTGTTCGACCCTTCTTGCTACTAGTGGCTGTTGGTACGTTAATTGTAGTAGTAGCAGCAGAATTAAATCACTGTCCTTGTTCGCCGTTATGTGTAGTACTACAATGCAAGGGAACTCCACTGGTACTTAATATTACTATGTTGTTTGATACAGTGGCAGGAAAAGAAATAGTCATAAGTTTAGTTAGCAGGTTTTACTGCTTTAACTTAAGTCTTACTATTGTCACTTTTAGTAATTTACTTTCTAAAATTGGATTGCCACCAGTTTTGAACTTATATCAATAATCATGTAGCTCTTCTTAAAATATTGTATGGATGAAATAGTATATATTAGTATATATTAGTGTTGAACTGGCAATAAAACGCAAACTAGCGGCACGCATCACTAAACAAACTTGAAATTGCAGCCACAAATTACTTTAAGGTCTTTTTATTGAATTACACAAATCTGGTATTAATAGTTATCAAATTCCAGTAACTACTGTAAATATAAAAAGTTAATAATATTGTTACTTTACCACTATAAACTTAATCAACTACTAGTCTAAAGTACAATATTATCAACTACTACTACTACTACTACTTTCAGGTTCTTCAGTTACTACCGCTGCTTTTCTACTGCTGCTGCCGCCGTCACCACCGCCGCCGCCCCGGTTGTTTATGTAGCTAGATTCCAAGATGGCGAATTGTGAGAACAACAGTAACAAAGTTGAATCTGATGATCAAGGCGGCACTGTCAATGGACATGAAGAACATGCGCTAACTCCTGTAAATGCAAAGGGAACTACTGAATCGGTTTCGGCTTCATCTACAGCTCGGTATGACGCGACTAATTCCCCCGACAATGTAGATGTGGAAATAACTTCTCCAGAGGGTAGGGGGACCCTAATCAAGAAGGATTATATTAGCACCTGGTTCAGTCCACCCAGGTACCAAAAGCAAAGTAAAGAATTCCCGGAGCGATTATTGGACAGCTACTTTCCTCTTCTTACCCGAAGATTCAGATACGCCATTGGTTTTATTTTTATTGGTACCATAATATGGTGCGTTTATGGAGGCTTGAAATTGTCCAGCTCTATAGACCAGGATGCAGAGACTCCTAGTACTGTCTATCTTTTCGCTTTCGGTATCATTGCTGTGTTTGCTGTCGAAATAGCTTCTTTCATCTTTACGTTCACGGCTCCTTTTCGTCAATACTACATAGCCCCATCTGTGTTGATGGGTCCCGGCATTACCATTGTTATTCTTGTCGCTTATATTTGCCTCGATGGTAGCGACTATGAGGTTTCTGCTTTTGCAGTGACAGTCTTTTTCATTCTGTTACTGTACACATGCATACCTCTTCCGTTAATTGTGGTTGTTATCGACGGGGGTGTTCACTCATTGCTTTTAGAGATTCTTAGTGCTTATAAATCTCCAGAATTTTGCATAGCTCGTATCATTGCTGGAAGACTCTTATTGCAGATATGTATCCATATACTTGGAGTTTACCTGTTTGTCATCTTGCAAGTAAGGCGTTACAGCCTCTTTCAGAAGATGCATCAGGCTACAGTTGACAAGCATGTCCAGGAGGAGGACAAAAAGATTAAAGAAAGGATGATACATTCTCTGATGCCCCCGTCTGTTGCCAGCAACGTAATTGATGTTCAAGACACCGATAGAAAAGAGATCACATTCCGTCCCTTTAATGTGGACAAAATGGATGAGGTTAGCATCCTCTTTGCTGACATCGTTGGCTTTACGAAAATGAGTTCTAACAAGACTGCCGAACACTTGGTAACTCTCCTTAGTGACCTTTTCGGTAGGTTTGACAAGCTTTGCGAAGCTCTGGGTTGTGAAAAGATCAGTACCCTCGGTGACTGTTATTATTGTGTGTCGGGTTGCCCAGAGAAAAACAAAGACCATGCAAAGTGCTGTGTGGAAATGGGTCTTGGTATGATAAAGGCCATCCAAGAATTCGACAAAGAAAACGATGAACAGGTTAACATGAGAGTCGGTGTCCATACTGGAACTGTCCTCTGCGGAATTGTAGGATCGAAAAGGTTCAAGTTTGATGTTTGGTCAAACGATGTTACCCTAGCTAACATCATGGAAGCTACAGGACAACCAGGAAGGGTGCATATCTCTCATGCTTCATACGTTTTTCTTGAAAATGAATATGAAGTGGAAGAAGGCGAAGATTGTGAAGGTGAGTAATTCATTTCAATATTCTTGTTTTTACTCACTTGATTGTTAGTCTCTTGAGAGGGCCCCAAACCTAGAATTAGATGCGATCTTGCACTTACTCACGTTGGATGTTTCGTTGACATCTACATTGCTTGCATGACCAAAAAAAGTCATCTACAAAATTCAAACCACACCGTTTTTGAAGACTCATTTCAATGTTGCAATATTCGCAATTTTCATTATTCACTAATTTACGATACTAACCATATTGAAAGCGTTAGCTTGATTCACGAACGTAAATTTATTAAATTGGCTAATAATAGCCTATGAAATTATTTTGATTCACAATTTTCAGTGGTGCACATGATCTTCCAGTCATAAATGGGATTAAAAAAAAACTTTAATTAAAATGTGATAATGTGAATTTGAAAAATTTAACACATTAAAAAAAAATTAAAACGCCTATTGAATAAAATAAAATAATTGTTAAACAATTTTAGCAGTTTCAGTTAAATTAAATTTAAATAATTGCCCCAGCTAAAAAAAAGTTTAAATTCTTAATTTAAAGAACAATTCTTAGATTTTTTTTTATAGGTATTTGAATAAAATCAAACTAACGATTTAACATGAAAGTGCAAGATCACCGAATTTGATAGTGAAGAAAAATTATTTCAAACATTAATTGTAAACTACTGTTTACTTGGTTAAATAGCATTTCATTTCCTGCTAAGCAAAATTAAAACTCCTACAAAATAGGTTCTAGAAAAGAGAAACTTTGCCAACATCAATTGATTTCAGTTTACAACTTTTAAGTATTTCCTTCACTTCTGAAACGAATTTTTCAAGTTCTATAAATAAAATAGATTAAAATTGGAGTATTTCCATAAGACGAGGAAGTGCTGACAAATTTTCGACCCGGTCCATTTGTCTAAATCTGGCAACACATTTTTTTTCCTTTTAAATGTTCTTTAGTACTCGATGGGACCGAGAACTTTTCAGCACTCTCTCCTACTTTTTCTATTTTTATTAATGAATCAGAATAATATAGAATTAGTTTAATTTATCTCCTAAAATAAATCTATAATGTTTTGTATTTTTTGTCTTTACCGTCGTGAAAATTAGGATTGTTTGCTTGTTTTGCCTTCTAGTCGTAATGAATCTTTGCAAAAAAAAAGCGAAGATTTTTTTCTTCTTGCATTCTCGAGTTGTAATTCAAGAGATCACTCCAATAAAAGCTCTTGAAAGCAGCCTTCGTCTTGAACATTGCATTTTTAAAAATCTTTCTGCACATCTTAAAAAGCCGAAGAGGAAACATGATTCCATTAGATTTCTTGTTAAATTGCTTAGAACTGTTTGATCTGCTTTCTGAAATTAATGACTAAAAATGTTTAATAACAATTAAAACTACAATAAGACTTCATTTAACTGATCTTTTGTAATGCGTAAATCCAAAATTACTCAAGTTGCTATCAGTTAGTCAAAAATGCACTTGCATTCAGAATTGTCAAATTTAACGCTTTTTTTATTTACATTTTTTTTTTTGACAATTTTCCAGCTTTCTTTCGCCAACTTAAAAATAAATTTCTCCATGTTAAATCTGCTGAATTAACTTTGTTTTTCCTTATTTAAAAAAAGTACTTTTAATTTAATAGTTTTTTTTTTATATATATCTGTTGAGATACCCAGCTTATTTTTCCTACAACGCTGCTCCGTACTGCAGGAGAAGCCAAGTCTTAAATTCGTGCGCTTGTATATTTGTTAAATTGTACATATGTAGAGTAGGTATGATTGATTACCCCCCCCTCCCCAAGATCTAGAAAACGTATTGCTGCTATAAGCTATTTATAACTTTTTACTATTTTAAAGTACAGATGTGATATTAATAGAAATGAAACATTCTTTCGTTGCGTAGACTTTAATTTTATCAATTATCCAGAGTTGCTTGGTGTTTGTGCTATGGAAAATATTTACTTGTAGTTACTGGCGCGCGCACTCACACGAAAATATTCTATTAATAAGTGGCGGAGGTTGAGAACTCCCCTCCCATTCACATTAAAAAATGCTTTCAATGATAATTACAAGATTAGGTGCTTTCCTCTAATTTTGATATACTACCTTAAGAAATAATCCACTCCTCTATTAAATGGTGATATTTTCCCCTTAGGCATGTTTTTTGTTTGTTAGTGTCTTTATTTTAATGGGAATAAAATTCGTATAAGAATAAGAGGCAACCTAAGGATTTTTTTTTCTCCATACGAATTTTACCAAAATTATAGGAATTCAAGTATAATTTTTCCATAAAAATTTTGCATGTCCTCTTAATTACTAAATCCCATTCATTAATTACTATTCTATGAAAACATTTTTTCAAATGGCATGGTTTGCTCTTATTGCAGTTTTAAAATTATGAATTTATTTTATTTTAAAACACCTAATGGAATTGGCATAAAAACTGTATGGGATATCACTCTCTAGTTTTATTTTTAATTTTTATTTTAGCTAGTCTTGTTTACAGGAACTCAAATACAGGACATCTGTTACTTCCATTTCACAAATGTTAAACAGTTAAAAACAAAACTTACAATTTCTTAGATGCCTCTAAGAATTTGCACTGCCAAAAGCTTGGTATATAAACTTACAAATAAGGCCTCAAGACTCCGGTTTTAAAATTTTGTACTGTAACAATGAAATAACGAATGTTTAATTAGCAGATTACATGTAAAAAGAAAAACAAAACGTTCACTGAAATTATCTTCAAATATCCTCATTATAGGCCAGAATTAATCTTTTGATCTTTTAAGATCAAATAATTACTAAGCTTGAAAGGTTTACTTTAAAGTGCAATCTTTTTCTTAAGTCTTTAATTAAAGACATGATTTACTTAAAAATCTATGCACGATTTTTAATGCTGCGTATCTTCAAATCCTTTAGTTTTAATGGAAGTTTTTTTTTTTGTTTGATCTTTTTGGATGTCTCATTAGCAAATAAATTGATCATTATACAATAAAATATTTCTAATTTAGTTTTCCTACTGTTAATGTAGCAAATGGATTTAAAATTACTTAATGAAATACCAAAACTCTTGGTTAACAATAGAATTAAAATATTCTATTGTATTTGTATTATTCCTATAGCGTACTTCATTAAAAGAACAGATTAAGAAAATATTCCATATTGTGGTTGAGAATAACTGTTGAACCACTTAGTGAAGAAGATTCAATCTTAGAAACATTAATGTTACTAAATTGCTTTCTTTTCTCTAGAATATTGTGTGGGTTTTAAAGCAACCATTTTGTCAGATGATATCAAAGTAACATTTTTTAGCCATTTTGTTAAGATGGTTATTTTATTATTCATCATAACCATTTTAAGTTTACAAATTAGATGAAGTTAATACTTTGATACCAAATGAAAATTTGTAGACATAAGTAGATTGTATTCCTCATGCATATTTAAGTCCTGGTTACGGTAACTTTAAAGACTAATGTTGAAATAATTACTGTTTACTTAGTTTTTTTTTTTTTACATTTGTTATAAATGTAGCTAAATGTAGCTCTCTCTGACATAGAAAATACTTGAGTAAAAAGTTTTGTATGTTTATACAATTAAAATGAACATTTTGAAAGATTTTCTTTTCAACTGAATATAGGTTTTGTAGTACTAAAATGAAGTATCATTTTGTAGTCATGAGTCTTAATTATAACCTGAACACTTAAAATCATTTGAAACTGGCTTTAAATTGTACGTATGATAGACCTTTTACTCTATTAACTAATCCATCTAAAGAAAGAGGCTCAGATTGAGTTCAAATTCTAAAGTTATTCACTTATATGAAAATACACTTGGGGAAAGGTATGAATTCATCCCTCCTTCCCCTTCTCATCTATGGGTAAATAGCAAGAAAGACTGGTTCCTACTGCCTTGGATGTCACCCAGTCTAGAAGGGTGACTGAATTGAAAACCTGAATGGTTGGTGACTAAACCAGATCTTACCCTCATCACCAAACCAGAATCTGGTAAGTGGAACCCCCAGCAGCACTAAAACAAGAGATGTTAAAAGGCAGGTGAAGTCCTCAGTCATCTGTTTCAGCTGTGTTTGAAATAGCCTCACCAACCTGCAATTGGCCAAGTGGAATCAATATGATTATACCAACTTAGACATGCTCAACCAGGGAGGGATCCTCTCACATGAGTGGGGAGGTTTTGGATTTGGAAGTATTTGTTCTTAAATATTTTGAATATAAACCTGGATCAGGTATTTTATTTAAATTTCTATACTATTTTAGTACTATATGAATAGTACTATGAATTTGACTAATTTTTGCAACTTAAAGTTGAAGCTATTTTGTATACTAATTTTGGTAAAGTTACAGTATGAAATGCTAGACTGGTTACTCTCAGATTTTACAGTATTTCAGTTTATCAGGATTTGGGGTTTGTTGCAAGGTGGTATAAGGATATGGTTATGATTCATAAAATTTTATTCTTTACTGTGACTATGTACATTTCTAATTTATCCTATAAAAAATGGAATAAAATAATCGACTTTTTTTTTTTTTTTTTTTTTTCTGACGTTTTATTTTGAAAAGAAAAAAAAAAAAAAATAAAACTTACTGTTTATAGGTATTTTCAATCAAGCATAGTGGTTTACAAAGTCTTTGGCTGCATGTCTTCCCTCCTAAACACTTTGGGTTCCTAATGACCAGTCAGAAGCAGCAGCCAACAAACTGCCAACTTGGTAACCTCAAAGGAAAATCACAGCCACTGGTTAGTCTGATCATTAAAAAGTTAAGAGTTAAATTATTGTGACTGTGGTGATAGAAAAAAAACCCCAAAAACAGTAAACTATATTCTGAACAGGGAACAAGGGATGAACTTCTACTCCTGTTCAATAGACATGGAAGGAGTTCAGGTCGAATGATGGGTTCACGTATCTATTCCTATTAACCTGTAGAAAAAAAATTGCAAAAGAATTCATATATTAAGTAATATGTATTTCACAATTTTGAGGAAAGTGAGGTGGTATGACT